TAGATCTCAACTTTTTTGATAAAATGTAGTTAGACTTCTACCAAACATCCATTTATTGAATCACCTATACCACTATTAGTTTTATTGGCTAGGTTTGGATTGGAATATTAATCAAAGAAAAAGAAACAAAATAAAAAATTTGCTTTCGATATCAACACTTGCCAACATAAAAACGAAAAATATGTTATCCCATTTTCTAGAATTAACTTAATTCTTAAATCAATAATAATAGATTACTTTTTTTCGTTTTATATTGGAAACATGCAAATTTTGAATTTCAAAAATGAGACTCTAATCAATAAATTATTTAAATAGGTTTAATTGATCAATTTCATAAGTTGAAAAACAAATTATAAAAAAAAAATTTTTCAATATCTTGACACGATTTCATTTGATTTTCAAAAATAACTACACCCTGAAAAAATATTTATTGTATTTCAAGACACTTAATTTACTTTCTTTTTTGAAATAAAAATCAAAAAGAAAGAGAAATTAAAATAACAGCAACAATTCTAGAAATAGGATTGTTTCTAATTCCAGTTGTATAATTGTATCCTATTTGACTTTATGGTTCCAAACCCTAATTTAATGCACATTTACTTTTATTTAATATCTAAATTAAAGGTGATAGAGTAATATAAACACAATAATACGATCAAACAACACACCCAGTTTTAAATTTAAGATACAAACTTCAACGTAATTTAAGGCACAAAACAATCTCAAATTAAGGCACAAAATTTTGGAATTTTTTTTTTACAAATTATTTTACTGGTATCTAAATTTTATGTCTTAATTTGAGATTTTTATTGTGCCTTAAATTCAGTTGAAAGTTAGTGTTTTAAAAGTGAAACCGACTGTAATAATATTGGCTTTGATAACAATATGAATACCTAGTATAATAGAAATCTTGAAATGTATTAGATGTTTTGAATTCTCTTTAGTTAAAACAACCACTTGACACAATCATTGTTTAAAAACAACAGTTTAAATTCCAAATATTTCACAAAAATGTTAAACATATAATGATAGATCTTTAGGTTCTTTGGTGTATGATTATTACTTTTTTTTTTTTTTTTTTGATCAAAGTACAAATTAAACCCTTTAAATATGAGACTAAGTTCAATTAAAATAAGATTCTTGTACCAGAAGTCAACACTTAAACTTTTTTTTTTAATTTAAAATTGGATTTTAAAACTATCTTGTTTATTTATTATTATTTTTTTCTTTTCATTTTTACGATTTAAAGTATTTTGTTAAAAAAGCATTTATTAAAAAATTTTTTCCAACATAAAATAAAATTCCACATTAGAATGTTAAGATAAGAACCAAAGTTTAACCATTTAAACTTTTCAAAAGCAGATTAAACAATTAAATGAAATTATATTACGGATTTTTAATATTATAAGGGCAAAAAAATTAATGAATTGTTTTTCAACAAGCACTTTAAATCCTAAAAATTAACTAAAAATAAAAAAAGCAAGCATTGTGTTTTTCCGATCTTCTTGGGATATATTAAATAGTGAATATTTTGGATTTATTGTGGATACCACCTTAAGAAATTAGTACCTACAAATGGCAGGCAAAAGATTAAAGAAATGTATTATTGGGTGTAATCACATTAGTACACCAAAGTTGTAATTCTTGGAAAATTCGATTACAGTCAGTTCCACTTTTAAGGCACAAACATTCAACCAAATTTAAGGCACAATAAAAATCTCAAATTAAGGCACAATATTCAGATTCTAGTAAAATATATTGTAAAAAAAAATATTACAAATTTTGTGCCTTAATTTGAGATTTTTTTGTGCCTTAAATTTTGTTGAAAGTTTGTAGCTTAAAAGTGGAACTGACGGTAGTAAAGTAGTACTATATGTCCTTAATATAATTAAACACTTTTTTTTTTCTGATTAATATTTTTCTAAATCTAGCTTATAACTTAATTCAATTAAAAACTGTGATAAAATTTTTTAAATAAAAATAATCTCAACTTTTGAATATCGAAAATATTTTTTGAAATTACTCTAGCACTTTTTTTATTTATTTTTCGAAAACTGGGGGTTGAGAAAAGTTTTAAATCAAAGAATAAGTTAATGTATTCGATTAGAATATTTTTCCAGAGAGTATATCTTGTTTAATTTAACTTTTTGTTTAATTTTACCATTTAAAAATAAAAAAAAACATTTAAAGAACAAATTAGTCCCTTTTGTGAAAATAAAATTCCCATAATTTAGTATTTGTTTTAGTAAATGAGTTAAAATAAGACAGTCTATATAAAAATATACATAATTTATACTTTGAATTCAATGATTTTGGCAAAAAATGTTTTTACGAAAAAGTTAAATGGAAACTTAGTTAGTTTTATTTTTTCATTTAGTTTTATTAATTTTTTTAAAGGAAGGTATTTGTTCAATTTTCAATTTTTAGTGTTTTTTTTCTTGTAAAGACTTATGTTGATCCCCATCAATTAAAAATGATTATTGTATTAGTATAAAACTCAACAATTTCAGAAATAATAATCTATATTTCACCACATATTCAAAAGTTGAATTATCAATCTGAAGATTCAAAAGTTGAAAAATATCTTTTGTAAATTTGTGGTGAAATGTAGATTAGTTGCGAAAAAATATCAATTTTTTTAAAAAATTAAATAATACACTTATATTGATACTTTTTGCAAATTATTTCCAAAATATTAAAATATACTGATGTTAAAATAAACTTTATAAAAAGGAAACAAAACTAATCAGTCTTTAGGCTTGTATGTTGATGATTATTGAGTTAATCTTTGATATTAAAAAATTTAAAAAATAGTTACATTTGTAGGTTTTACAATGAATTATTAAATAACCGGAATACTATTTTTTGAGAGAGTTTCTATTTTTAGATTTGGTAAAATTATTAAAAAAAAAAATTACTAAATGTGAATAATTTTTATTTAGTGATCATTGATAAAAAATTCTTATGATTTATTATCAAATAAGATTTTAAAGAGATTTTTTAGATATATTTTGAGCCATGTTGCACTAATACCATTTAAGCCCAATGACAACATCATTTGATTATAAACTCTTTTTCAAAAATTGTGACTAACCCGAAATAATAAATTGAAAAAAAAAAATTATCCTGTAGTATTTAAGAACAATTAATAACTAAATATGATTTGTAATTCACTTTTAAGTTATTATAAATCTATAAAAGCCCAATATATTAAAAATTACAAAAAATAAAACCAAAAACTAAAAAAAAGTGAGTCAAAATTTTTGAAATGAGGATTACATATTTTTTATTACTGAACTTTCACTTGAAAAAAAGTTGAACAAAAAGATTTTTTCTGAATAATTAAATCCATTTTCGAAGACTTTACATAGTCTCAAATTTCATAGTGATTATTTGTCTTTTCGAAGATCTCTTTTTTTTTCCATATGATCTTTTTAAAAAAAAAAAAAAAAAAAAAAAAAGAAAAAGAAAAAGAAAAAGAAAAAACTTAAAGAAAAAGAAAAAAAGAAAAATTTTTCAAAAAAAATTAAAGAAAAACAAAAATTTGAAAAAGCAAAACTAAAATTTGCAAAATTAGAAAAAATGATTCTGATTCAAAAATCTGAAAATATTTTTTGTTAAGAATACTGGAATAAACCCCCAAAACAACTCCAATTAACATTATAAAGTGAGTCAAAATTTTTGAAAAAGAGTTTTGATAAATCTAAGGTTCAGTAATCCCTTAAGAAACCTGTAAACTAAAAAAAAATCTTCAAGTAAATCCAATAGCAAATTCAAAAAAAATTTACTGCCTCTTGAAATTGAAAAAAAAAGTAAAAATCTGGGTATACTACAAAACCAAAATTACTTTTAATACTATTTTCTGATGTGAATTATTGTTTTTAAAAGTTCTGATCCATTTTTCTAATTTTTTAAAAGTTCAAAATCCAATATATTTCTGAATTACTTGAAAAAAAATATTTTCTTACAAAGAAGATTGAAATCTTATAGCCTGTAAATGAAGTGTACTAAAATAACATTTTAAAAACCAAACCATTAAGTTCTATAATAACTCAGTTTAAAAAATCAACTTATTTTCATAAAAAAATATAATCATTATTTTAAACTTGAAAAAAATATGATTTTTTTGATTCAAATAACAGTTCAAATCAATTTTTTCTTATTATTGAATAAAAAAATCTGAGAAAAAGAACCAAACTATTGAATTAAAAATTCTCATAAAATGACTTTTTTAAAACCTCGGAAATTCAACTTATTATCTAGAGAAATACTTTTTAATTTGATTTTTTATAATTGAGAATTAATAACCCAATCTTAATTCTTCCAGTGGGTTATTAACAACCCAATGGTTAAAGGTATCAATAGACTTTACAATTATTTCTCAATTGTTTAAAGATTTTCCAACAAATAAACCAAATTCAAATACATATTTCTAATAATAAAATAATAATAGATATTATCAAATAACTGATTTTAATACAAACAGTTCCTTGTTTATACTCTTGATATTGGAAAAAAGAATATTTTGAATTATCTTTTAAATCTCAAAAAATTTAAGAAATATTTGTGAATAAAATAAATCATCAATTTTTTCAGATCTTCAATGGATTTGATAAATTTGATTTATTTTAATTGTATTTTTAAAATAAGACTCAAGTTTTAAGGTTGTTTGTTTGTTCATAAAGATTCTCTGAAATTATTAAAAGCGAGATTTCTTCAAAAATTAAATTTTTTTGTTAAATGTTTTCTAATTTTTTATTTTTAAAATTCAAGCAAAAAAAGTATCAGATCTTTTTTACTGAAAATATAATTGGGAAAATGAACTCTTTTAAAAATGATAACTCATTTCTCCAAAGTTGACAAACGAAGTCGCTTATCGTTTTTAATTGTATCCTTATGTAACTAATAATTCTATTATCTTTTGGAAAAAAAATAAATAACAGTTACCAGTACATAAAGGCAGATGTTCGTTAGGAACTCAGAATGTGGAATAAAAAAATTTCTCAAGCAGGGAATCGAACCCCGGTCTCTGGCGTGTAGGGCCAGTATTTTACCACTAAAATACTCAAGATTTTATAACTTATTTATTTATGGCCCTTAAATCACTATTTTTTGATTTTTTGAGTAAAGATAAAGGAATTTTCTCAATCAACAAACGAAACTTTCAACAATTTGTACAAAGATTTCAAAACAACCTCAGAAAAGTATTTCTACTCTCTTGTTATTGAACTTTATGTTCTCAAAAATCTTTAAGGGTTCAAGAAAGAAATATTAAACTCACTAAAACTTCAAAATGCAAAACAAACAATACAATCAAAGAATAACAAACGAAAAAAAATATGGTCAAGGCCACTTCGAATATAACACTCTTTCAACAAAAAACACAGTACACCAAAATTCTCAATAAAAACAACTGAATTCGGGTAAATCAAGGAATAATTTGTTGTAAACAATAACACCCAAATCATTACCTTGACTTTATATACAAACTAAAAAAAATATCCAATATACTTTTCAAAAGATTGAATCAATCTATCTATCTACTAACCCGCCAACCAATATATCCATCAAAATTTATAATCATCATTATTGAAATTTTATTTGATCTAATACAAAAGATCAAAATGAAGTCTTGTTTTTTATCTCAATGGTGACTCAGAATTTTAATTTTTCCATATTTTTGAAAAATATATTGTTTTTAGAGATTTATTCCATAAGGATACTGTTAAATGTAAAAAGAAAAAGATTAAAATTTTCTTTCAACATTTTAAAAAATCACCCCACATATAATAAAGTAAAGCATCCAAAATCTCAATTTGAAAAAGGGAAATTAATAATTTAAGTTGATTTTGGAATTAACAATTTGAAAATATAGGATTTTTAAAATCATTTTTTGGAAAAATGAATGAAAATTTTGTTCCATTTAATTTTCAACAAATAGTATCAAAGACCCTTGTCATACATTATTCTACTTATAACGTCATAGCTCTTCAAAGGTTAATAATCAATAATAATTGATATTTGAAAAAAAATTTGAAATCCGTTACCTGAAATAAAAGTTTGAAAACAACGATTTTTAATTGAGATAATAATCTACCTTAATTGTTTTGTACTTTTTCTTTCAAAAAATGCTGATGAGGGTGTTTGAATAATCCTAAATTATTAAAACATGCTGTTTATTTTATTGTAACACATACACACACACACAATCCATGTCGTCGAAAATGCCATTCAATGATATTAAATTGTTTTTGTTTGGATCGTTTTATCTGTGTGGAAAATTTTGATTTTTAGTTTATATAAAGAAAAAAAACATACAGTCGTTCGAACACTTCTGTGAAATCTATGATAAACAGAAAATTCACAATCGTTATCATACTTGGCTTTTTATGACAGGCTTTTATGGTTATGTGATAGCTTATTACAAACAGTGAAATTTTATAATAGAACAAAAATTTCACAAAGAGAAAATATTAAAATTTGAATTTTTGAATACAAACCTTTCTAAATGATCAATAATTTTTAAAAAAATTTTTAGGTTATTGGTAGATCTTTAATTTCTAAATTCCTTAAAACCAAAAGGCAAGACCATTTTAAAGAAATCTTCAAATTTTATTTTCAATTTTTGGAAACTTTGTTTTGAATTTTTGAATTTTTTTGATAAACAACAAGATTTTTTTCTCAGTCTTTCAAATAAGAAATTTTTTTCAAAAACCTTTGGCAATCCATAAAAAGTATATGATAACGTATAACCTTGAATTTTTTTTTTTTTTTTTTTGTATTTAAGGGATTAGTGTCTACCAAGGAGAAGCCTAGGAACAAAGCATGTTGTTATTGGACGTTAAACCACATTAGTGTTACATGGTTCAAATGTCTCTAAAAAATCTCAAAGCCAAGTAGTAATATTTGTTGATCTTCATCAATTAAAAATGATTTATGTATTAGTAAAAAACTCAACAATTTCAGAATGAAATCTGCATTTCGCCATAAATTTAAAGGTTGACTTATCAATATTCATACTACAAAGTCACAAAATATCTTTCTTAAATTTGTAGCGAAATGTAGATTAGTTACTAAAAAATTCGTTTTTTTTTAAAAATTAAATAATTATTGAATAAAGTTTTTTGACAAATTATTTCTCAAATCATGTAAATATATTGATGCTATAAGTATCTTTATCAAAAGCAAACAAAACTAATCAGTCTTTGTACTTTTATGTTGATTATTATGGAGTTAATTATTGAAATTAAAAAATTAAAAAAATAGTTACTTTTTGAAGTTCTAAATCTGAATAATTAAATACCAGAATACTGTATTTTGGGTTTCTATTTTTAGATTTGGAAAAGGAATTTTTACAAAAAAAAATTCAAAAAATGAAACTTTTTTAATTGCTGATCATTAGTAAAAAATGTATTAATTTATTGTGTAATAATATTTATAATAGATATTTTAGAGCTCTTTGAGTCATGGTGTACTAATATCATTTACACCCAATTACAGCATACTTTCATTATATAGAAATCTATGGTGAGGCTAATCCCTTAAGAGGTCACATTATTATATTTTAAAATTATTTTAAATCTAAAGAATATATTTTAAATAGGGAATCAATTATTTGGACTATTAAAGAATTATTTTTTCTCTAATAAATTACAAAAAAACTTAATTTTTTTAATTTTTTCGTTATGTTTTTTAAATTTTTATAATAAAAAGTAAATTTAACAATTTTTTGGTTTATTTTAAAAAGTTAAAAAAAATTGAGATTTTTTTTCTAGAATTTATAATAATTGAACATAATAAAAGATTTTTTTCCATTCTTTTAAAATCTGTGAAAGCACTGTTAGTTTTTTTTTTTAATTTATGAAATTCTAAGAAAATAACTTATATTTTCTTTTTATTATAAAAACCAAAAAAAACTTACACACTCTATAGCACGCTATAGCATTTTATAACACTCTATATACACATTCATTAGAATTTACCGAAAATGAAATAATGGAGTATAATATTGATTTTTTCTCTATTCTTTTGAATTCTGGGAAAACACCATTTGTTTTTTTTCTAAGTTTTGAAATAAAAAAGAAAATTTCATTAATTTTCATTTTTTTCTAAAATTAAAAAAAAACAGAGATACTCTACAGAACTTTTATAATTTTTTTTCAGAATTTAAAAGAATAAAGTAAAATCCATTTGATTTTTCTCTATTCTTTTAAATTAAAAAAAAATAAAATAAAATAAACCTATGCACTTAAAAGCACTTGACCAACACAAAATAATTATTATCAATTATAATTTTTTCAGTATTTGAGTTTTTTAGATGAGTCAAGTGCTTTCAAAACTATTAGTTATTATCTATTTCAAAAATATCATAAAGTCGAATTCAACAACAATTCATTTTTGCATCCATTGTAAATTTTTTAACAAATTAGACCCTTTTTTCTAGACTAGAGACTTTTAAAAACCATAATACAATTTAAGGATATAACTACAACCGCCTCAAGATTTTTACGAAATGGTATGTTGATTTTATTATGAATAAACTCGATTAAGAATGATGAATTTATAATAGAGTTAGTATTTTTGTCTCACTTGTAATATTAAAATTAATTATTTCATAAAAGTGAAGTGTAAATTTGGAAAGTTGTAAAAAATACAGTTTTTCAGATTTTTGAGATGAGCAAAGTGTTTTATACATTTATCCAAATTTTTCTAATCTAAACAAAATGTAAGTAATGATTAATGAGCTCAAAAAGAATGAATACAATTTTTTTTACAACCTATTCGACTTTCAAGACTCGTACTTTCCACAAAATATAAAGAACAATAAAAATCCCAAATTAAGGTAAAAAATTCAAATTCTAGTAAAATAAATTGTGTAAAAAAAAACAAAATTTTGTAACTCAATTTGAAATTTTTTTTTCATCTTAAATTTTATTAAAAGTTTTTTTTATTAAAAAGGGAACTGGCTATAGTAAACGAAAAATAAATTTTGATTTCTGAGATTATAAGGATTTTCAATATAAAATGGTTTGGTAAACATCCATACTTTGTTAGAAAAATGATCTGTATCAAAAATTGAAAGATTGGTATTAACCATACGATTCATTGATTATAATTATTGTTATTCTATTAAAATATCAGATATTATATTTATTATCACTGAACTTTGAATAAATATATGGAACTCTTTGTTAATCTCAAAAATTGTAAAAACACTATTTTTTCCAACATTCAATATTTTCACTTGTGTTCTTCACAATTTCCCTAAAGAAAAATAATATATCTTTCGAAAAATACTAAGTAAAAAAAGGCTAAAAGTAATATTTCAATCTAAAATCAAAAACCAAAATTCATCATTAAAATACCTTCCAAATAAAGATAAAATTTTCTTTCTTCAATTAAAATTTTGTTATATAAAAAAAAATAAATTTAATCAACTTTATTTTTTGATCAAAATTGAACAATAGCTATTAAAATTAATACCAACTCAAAGATCGATCAGCTAAGAATCAAAATAACAAGTACATGAGCCTAACACTAATAGACTTTATTTCACTTTCAGGTGTTGTAAACCTTAAATTAAAAGCAAAAAAAAAAAAAATTTATTGATAAATATTTTTGACACTTTTTCAATCAACCGAAATTCTACACATTTTTAACACACTTTGAATTTGATGATTACATAGTTTTGATTACCACAAGTGTAAAAAGTCTTTGGATTTTCACTATTTTGTTGGAAATTAAAGTTATCAAAGCTTATTTAGAAAATTCTAAAAAAGAGCCAAAAGAAAAATGTTTTTAATTTTTTTCAAAACCCAGCGAAATGTTGATACTTAAAATGTATTGGTGGAAACTAATTCTTAAATGAACCAATAGAATGGATAAAATAATGAGATTATTATATTGACGAATAATTTCAAGTCCAATGGTATCTTCTAAACACTTCAAAATTTGTTGTTTGTCCAATATTAAAGTAAGGGATTATCTTTAATTTTTTTAATTGCGACGAAAAAATAACTTTTTTTGAATTCAAATGAATAAGTTATTTGGTGTACTTTGTGAACAAACTTT